GACACACTCTTAGATTTCTGGGGCATGCTGTAGCTTTTTCATGTGTGGTTCATGTAGTGTAGAGAGCGCTCGCTGCGGACATCATCACCCTATATGAAACAACAACCTCAAATGTGCCAAACTCCAAGCAATAGATATTACTGATGGTTGTTGAGGGGTTTTCGGGCTCTTTGGCCGTGTTCTGAAGGTTGTTCTTCCTAACTTCAGAGTGCTGTCCTCTGAAGATGCCGGCCACAGAGACTGGCGAAACGTTAGGAAGAACAACCTTCAGAACACGGCCAAAGAGCCTGAAAAACCCTCAACAACCATTAGATCCCGGCCGTGAAAGCCTTCACGAATAGATATTACATTGTTTAAAACAAAAATTATCATGGTGTCATTGGTACAGGCAGCAGCAGAGCCGACCCTACTGTTAGGGAAAGTGAGACCACTTTCTCGGATGGCAGATGTGGAACAGCAGGAAGCAGTGACGAAGTTTTGGTTTTATTCCGGTGTGCCATGTTAAGATACCACAGAGGTAGGAGCTTGGGACCTCACACAAGCAGGAGCTGCATAGATGAGTCCCATCTGGGTCTGCAGCCATATTCACATGTGTTTTTTGCAAAGTTACTATCCTGTTTCCCTGAAAATAAGATCTAACCGGAAAATAAGCCCTAGCATGATTTCTCAGGATGCTCGTAATATAAGCTGTATGCCAAAAATAAGCCTCAGTTAAGTGAAACCCACCCTTGTGCAGCAACCTAAAGAAGATGACATGACTGTATTTAAATAAATGTCGATGGTTGTACATGAAAAAAAAATCCCCTGAAAATAAGCCTTAATGCGTTTTTGGAGCAAAAATTAATATAAGACCCTGTCTTATTTTCGGGGAAACATGGTATTACGTGAATGGCGTAGGCTGCTGCAGGCAATCGTGAGGGCATTCATAACCCCATCAATGCCAGCATGATGTTTATTTACTGAAACCGAGTGGCTGAAGTTCCTTCCATACATCAAGGCAGCAAAGAATAAAAGAATGTGATCATAGGTCTTTCTTCCTGTTTTAAAAAAGCCTTTTAAAAATATTTAAGCAGATATGAAGATTTTGACAGGATGCCAAGCATCTGTTGATGCTGCAACAGAGTAGGTTCTCCGCCTTCTTGCTACATGGCGTATCAGTAGTTCTTTTAAGCAGGAACATCCTCTGATACTCTTAAAAGCAGGGAGAAGGAATATGTGGACATTATTATTCTACAATTCCCATTATCCTTTTACTTTTGGCTGTGCTAGCTGATGGGAGCTGCATTCCAGTAACCAATGTTCCCCTATCTTTGAAAACACTGGGGGGAGTGGATCGAGAACTGCTTCTTTGAGACCCCAGCCAGTTATGACTTTTTAAAAAAAAGACCGTACTATTCATTTTAACCATTAGGAGAGAAACATAGGAATGGGGACCCTTTTCTGTTATTTGTAAGATACAGTTGTGACTGTTGTTAGGATTTCTTATCTGGAATTTCAGGCAGTTTCCCCTCCCAAGTCCATTTCAAGACTTCTGTGGAGCTTCTTTAGAAAGCTGCAGCATGGATTTAATGCGCTTTAGCCTCAATACTGTGGCTGTACCCAGCACATTCCATTCGGGTGACGCGTTCGTATTCAGAGGAGAGGCTTTTACAGGGAGAAGTCAGTCCTGTGCTCAACGTTGTCCAGGGTTTAGAGCTTGTTTTTCATGGACTGTTTCCCCAAAACATTGCTGAGAGAAATATGCCCTGTGTTATGATTATGAAATATGGAATGCGGGAGAGAACATTTGCACCACTCTGAGCTCTTGGAGAGAAATGCAGCCTGCTTTTTTTTTAGTTGGAACTTTTTAAAAATATTATGTTGTAAGTCACCTCAGGTCCAGCAAGGGACAGACTGGAAATATCAGACAGACAGACAGACAGAGAGGGGGGGGGAGAGAGAGAGATGTGAATAAAAATCAATGATTTAAATCATGATGTGTATTTTAAAAATTGATTTTTAAATTTAAAACATAAAAACTGATTTTTTAAAATTTAAATTACAATTTAAATCAATCTGATTTAAATCAATCTGATTTAAATCAAATCCACACTGAGAGAGAGAGGTACCTTCCTCAGCCTAGTCTTCTCTCTGTGCCATGGACTACATGCCCTATTCTCCCCAGCCAGCCATTTTACCCTTCTCTAATTGGTACTCTTCACATATATTGGACTATATCTCCATTGTTCTCATCCAGCATGCCATGATATTTTGGATTTGTCAGGCTATTGTGGTTCTTCCAAGGCAGAAAATCTGTTGTAGTTCAACATTGCTAAGGACACCAGACTGAGGTAGGGTGAACTAAACAACAACAACAACAACACACCAGTATTTCCATACCTTGCTGTCTGTAGTAGTTTCGGCTCCAGCTCTGAGATAGCCTGCTGTTTTATTTTCTCCCCCTTTCTCATCATATCCAAAATTAAAGTGGTGCCAGGGTGATCATGGTAAGGTGATAAAATGAGTAACTATCATTTTCTCATCCTTAACAGAAAAGGGTATCTCAACACATCAAGACATCTGTATTGGTGGGTGGGAAGATTAATTACTACAAATGTAAAATGTTAATTACTACAAGATCTTTCACTCTTGCCTGAGAACACAAGGATCAGATCAGAAAAAAAATTGCTCATCATCAGCACAAGCCAAAAATAAAAAAGTAAAAACTTAAAAACCAGTTTTTGTGCAAAAACCTTGTTTTGCCCAAATTCAAGCTATTGTATATCCACAAAAAACACTTCTGTAAATTTTTCACAGAAGAAACCTAAAAACGGGCAACATTCTCAGAAATTCTTATAATGTTGCCCAAGGAGGAGAAAAATGTCTATACCTGTATTTTTCATTCTCACCAGCAGGAATTAAACACGATTTATATTCCTAGCCCACCTTGCAGCTTTTTGGTTCAAGCAGTTCCCATCCATACAATGTAACAGAAATATAGAGCACATCAGATATATTTATTGAAATCATTTTGGTCTTATTCCCCAAATGTTTTCTGCCTTAAGAGTACAAGGATATCTTTGTAGCTGAGCCGAAGCTCCCATTATGTATTTTTATTTCTTGTAGGTAGGTCTTGTCTGCGGCTTTGTGTGATTCAGATAATTATTTTGTAGTACTAGCTAACTAGAAGCGAGCTCCTCAAAGATAATTGGGATTGAGTGTCCAGATTACTAGAATGGGTATCATGCTTTAAGCGAAAACTATGCTATTCTCTAAGTAGCTTTTGAAGTCAAGGAATTGGATTCCCTTTAGCTAGTCAGACATGGAGCTCCTAATAAATATACCCCAAGAACTTCAGACAACTCTAGTTAGCCACTAAGCCCCAATGCTATCTCAGTATTCATGGGGTGACCATAAATGTTTCACAGATGGGTTTACCTCTGAGACTGGGGAAGGAGGGTTCCCTAGAATGTTTTTGTAGGATTCCTGTCTAGGAGCTCAGTCTTGGGAGAGTGATGGTATTTATCTGTCTCTGTGTTGGTTTCCTCTTTCACGGATTGCTGCCTTGTCGTAGCGAAGGGGCTTGAGTAATTCAGAAAAGCTATGGGCGATGCCGTGCAGGGACACCCAAGATGGACAGGTCATAGTGGAGAGTTCTGACTAAGTGTGATCCACCTGGAGCAGGAACTGGCAAGCCACTCCAGTATCTTTGCCAAGAAAACTCCATCGGCAGAAACACAAGGCTAAAAGATATGAACGCTGGAAGATGAGCCCCGTGTGTTCCCTCCCCCAACCTTTGGACAGCTGCCCCACTGACAATCTATCATGCGTCACCGGAGTCCTCCTCCCCCAGTGGCGCTCCAGTCCAGGTAGAAGCTCAGGCTGCCCTTCTCTGCCTCCTCCAGCAGACAGACAATGAGGCAGGATGGGGATTCTCCCTGCACAGCCATTGAGTGGTCGGCTGCTGGAGGAGGCAGGGAAGGGCAGCCTGAACTCCTGCACAGACTGGAGGAAGAGGGCCCTGGCAGCACACAATGGATTTTGAGTGGGGCAGTCAGCCAGGGTGGTGAGTGGAGGGAACACACAGCACCTATGATGGGATGTAGCGGTCTTTGTGCGATGAAGCGCGACTTAAGTTGCGCCCATCTCTAGTCTTCCTCCTTGAAAATTGGGACAATTTTGCTGAAAATTAGCTTGTCTCTGTTTTCTTTTTCTCTCCCCCTCCTACAGAAGCAAACTTCCAAAATGTCTGCCAAGAAAGAAGGTGCGCACAAGAAATGGGCTGCCTTGAAGGAGAAACTGGGATCCCAGGACTCCGACCAAACGGAGGCCAACCTGGAAAATGCCGAACCGGAACTCTGCATTCGCCTCTTGCAAATCCCTTCTGTGGTGAACTACTCGGGCCTCAAGAAGCGCCTAGAGAGCAGCGATGACAGCTGGATGGTCCAGTTCCTGGAGCTCTGTGGCCTGGATCTTCTCCTGGAAGCCCTGGACAGGCTCTCTGGGAGGGGAGTCTCCAGGATTTCCGACGCCTTGCTGCAGCTCACCTGTATCAGCTGCGTGCGGGCGGTCATGAATTCCCAGAAGGGCATTGAGTACATTGTGAGCAACGAAGGCTATGTCAGAAAACTCTCCCAAGGTGAGAACATCTTTTCCCATTCTTCTCACAGGCATTTGTGTGCGCACAGCTGCACACTCACACACATGCACCATTTTGTCTTGGCCTATTTCGAAAACACTCTAAAGGTCCCCTCCTTTACAAAAAATAATGACGGGTTGTACTTTTATTTATTTATCTTTATTTGGATTTTCTATTCTTTTTAATCATTGTTTTACGGCAGGGGTGGTCATTTTCAGCAAGTTTAGGGAACAGTTTTCTGCCTCCCCACCCCAAGGCCATGTAAAGGTTCTCCTTGACATTTAGTCCAGTCGTGTCCGACTCTAGGGCACGGTGCTCATCCCCGTTTCCAAGCTGTATTGGTCCGGTATTTGTCCTTAGACAGTTTCCATGGTCACGTGGCCAGCGTGTCTAGACACAGAACGCTGTTACCTTCCCACCGTGGTGGTACCTATTTATCTACTCGCATTTTTACATGCTTTCAAATTGCTAGATTGGCAGGAGTGGGGACAAGCAATGGGAGCTCACTCTGTCACGTGGATTCAATCTTACAATGACTGGTCTTCCGATCTTGCAGCACAGAGGCTTCTGTGGTTTAACCCGCAATGCCACCATGTCCCTTGAGGACCATGGCCATGTAATTAATTACTATTAAGGAGTTCTGTGATGCAGTGATTAAATTGCAGTACTGCCATTAAGACTCTGCTTGTGGCCTAAGTTCGATCCGAACAGGGTCAGATAGTCGGCTCAAGGTTGACTGAGACTTTTATCCTTCCTAGTTCAGTGAAACAAGTACCTAGGTCAAGAGGAGGGGTGCAGTGTGCAGCTTGCATGATTAAATTGTAAACCATCAAGAGAGTGTTATAAGTACTATGGGGCAATATTGGAGCAGCACATTTTTGCTTTAATTATGTGCTCTTGTATAAATTCTGACTTGTGCTGGTCCTTGCCAGAGTGTCCTAGGTGTGAAGTACTTGGAAGTGGTTTACCATTCCCTTCTTCTGGTTGTGCTTTAGGACCCATGCCCAAAGGCTGCACAAGCTAGCAGTTCCCCTGGAAGGCACAATGATTTGAAATCAAATTCTTGACCCCTGGCTCCTCAACTGCATAGACAACTCACTGAGCTGTTCTGCCAACTTACAGATTTTTGTGATTCAAAATCCCCAACAACAAAATAAATGAGATCAGAAATGGCTGGAAGTCCACTTTTGGTTTTGAGAAACGATCATTTTGAAGTGTTCATGCAAAAAAAAAGGGGGGGGACAACAGATTTGTTTGTTCGTTTGTTCTTTTGTTCATTTGCTCATTTATTCCGTGGCGGATGGTTTTCAGACTCAAGGCAGCTGACATTGGACTTCTTCTGTCTTTGCAGCACTCGACACCTCAAATATTATGGTCAAGAAGCAAGTTTTTGAACTCCTGGCTGCTCTATGCATATACTCAGTGGACGGACACGCTCTGGCTTTGGATGCTCTGGATCATTACAAGGTAAACAGGTCAAACGTAGACTAAAGAGCACAATATAGGAACACTAGAACGGACCTGAGGCATCAGACCAGAGGTCCTTCTGTCTGGTCCATCGTTCTGTTTTCCAGCATGGCCAGCCTATGAAGAGAATCGCCCGTCTGCTCCCGTGGCCCTTGCTTGCCATCAACTGGTACTGGTACTCCCTTCTGTTTCTAGAAAATCCAGTTAATTATTATGTTCAGTTTTACCCTCCGTAAACTGCTACAACAATCATCCTGTGGCATCAAGTCAAATCCGACTTCTGGCAGCTCTTCAGGGTGTTCCAGGTAGAGAATACTCAGGAGTAGTTTACCCTTCCCTTCTTCTAGGAGCCTCCCGAGACTTTGCAGCTTTGCCCCAAGGGGCTGGCTCTCTTCCTAGGAGGCACCGAGGAGAAACCAGCTCCCAACTCCACAACCAGATACGTATCAACCGTTGAGCTTGCACAGCCATGCAGCAGGAACAGATCTTGGAGATTCCAGTTTTACAGATAGCAGCTTCCAAAATCTCCCAGCTGGCTGAAGAATTCCGGGGGCAAAAGTATAATAATAATAATAATA